TCGTTAGACAGGCTATTTTCGAAAAATCGATAACTTCTCGACGTTCTTTTTTTTTTTTTTTTTTTTTTATTCGTCGTTTAGTTAGAACGAGCTTTATTTCTTTTGTTGAACAGAAGGAAAATGAAGATCACGAAGGTACTGTTTTTCTATACTATATATAGAATATAGATACATCTGTGCTAACTACTAAGAATAACTTTACGTCGATTCCCGCATACATAAATATCACGTTTTGCTTTATTCTCATTTTTAATCATTTCTTTTTTTTTTTTTTTTTTTATCGTTCCACCGATCGATGGAACCATTCAATCGCTCTTTTTCGGGTTCGTTCCAAAAGATTTACTCGTCTCTTTGTTCTGTTTGTACCCGATGCAACGCACCTGATTAGCCGGAATGCACATCGAACAGTACAATCGTTCGCAGAAACTGCAAAACCACTATACGGAAACTCGCGTTGTCCTCTTTTGTTCTCTCTCTCCGTTATTCTCGTAATTACGAAGTCTTAAAAAAGCAACCAAACTCTTCTGCGTACTTCGATCGACTGATTTATATTAATTAATAGACACAAAATTTAGTTCCGTTAATTAATACAATTTAATCAACACTGTATGATTATGAGAAAGCGATCGACGCTCAATGTCGGATATCGGATGACAGTTGAAAATAATCGTAAGTTACTGCACTAACCAACATGAAAATGAACTTGTGTGTTCGTCGTCGGTCGATTATCAAAACAACTTCTAGAATATTTAAATAAATGTTTCTTCCTGCGATGCCATGAAACGAGCATGAATATGTGTGTGTGTGTGTGTGTGAACGTTTGTGGTTGAGAAACACAATCTTTCAATTGTCAAATCGCACGTTGTTAATTCCATCGTTCATATTGGTTCTAGGATTCTATAAGATAATATATGCATGTAATTGGCTTTCGAAATAATGTCTCCTATAAAAAAGTGCGATTAGATATTAAAAAGTAGGACATTTTTGTCTGCGACATGTGTAATGATGATCATTTCGCAACAGCTGTACGAATATAAATTTATATCGAGGTATAAAATTACAATCTGTAAACGTTGTTTAATATCTTTTTTTTTTTAAATCTTCTTTCATTTTGCAATTAGGCACGCTAACTTTTTTTCTTAAGTGTAGCTTACACGTGTGATGTCATCTTCGGATAAGTTAATTACAAAATTTGACGATTTTTTTAAAAGATATGCACGAGAAGAAACAAAGTTCCAATTTTCTTCCTTATTTTTTTTTTTTTTTTTGTTTGTCTCTTTTAATTAATATTGGCCTTTGAAATTGAAACTGCTCGTATATGAATCTTACAATTATTCTTCTCGTATATAATATTTTTTCGATTACCAAATAAAACTTTCGATACCTTAAACGGTAAGGATAAATTGTATGTGAACTTTATTAATAAAACACAGTTCTAAAAGTCTCCGTAGCTCCGTGTAATTCGAGGCTACGAAAGTCCATCGAAAAATACAAATTTATATTATTTAGTACGTTTGCAGATTCAGTGCAGTACTATACTGTTTAGCGTGTAAACGCTGAATTCCTGTAAGACTTCACCGTAAATTCAAGGACTCTTAAACCTTCGATGTCCTTTCCTTTAATTTCTCTCTAACACGTACAATTCGCTTTCTAGCTGTTTCCACGCGTGTTTGCATGTTGCAATCGCATCATGTGGTTTTCAGATCTAGTCACGTAGAAAGAGTTTATAATAAAATCGTGATCTGACGTTGCCATTTGCTTTTCTCTTTTCCTATACGATAGGTCAACATGGCAAATTTGATTATTACGATTTACTTTCGATTGCGTATTTGTGGGAAAAACCATCGACTGGTTTAAGCACAATACATGCGCTAGAAAAAAAAATTATATAATTATTTGCACCTATATTTCCTTAATGATAAATCTCTTTTTTTCGATATAAGATTTCTTCCAATTTTCTCACATCGTTACAGTCGACACTATCCAAGATATCGAGATGTAGATTGTGCTGATTTTTTGAATGAACGCAATTATTACTTGTTAGAAAAGTCCACGATTTACATCTAGAAGTCTTAGGTAGTATTCATTTATTCGACCTGTTTGCTACAATAAATTAACTCTGGAAAAAGATAACCCAGTGTATGTATAATATTTGCTTTCGTTACTGCCAAGATGTATGAATGATTAACAGAAAGGCAGCACGCGGAATATAATATTAAAACATTATATCATAGAATTTATTTATAGCACTCTTACAGTAGTATGAATTTTTTTATTGATTTTAATTTTTTGTTTCATTCCATTTAATAATGAATGAAATAATTCAAATTTATTTTGCACTAAACTTGAAGATTCTTAAAGTTTCCATAAATTTGCTTACAAGTTCAAGGTATACAACACAGATAGATTGTAACACTCTTACTTGTATAATAAAATGAATTTTAATATATTTTTTTTTTTTTTTTTTTAGTCCTTTTAGTATAGTTACAGTTAATTTGAAGATGCATGTATCTACAGTGTAAGTACACATTCATGTTATAAAAGTTGCTATAGTGAAATAACGAGTATTTCGTGTCAGATATATTTTTTTTTTCTATATTTATTCATAGTTTCTTTCAATATATGTATTTGAATATTATTGATATTGTTTCAATACATTTGAATAGAACAGAATATCATACCATGTACATTTCAAAATATTTCATTTGCAGAATGTGTATAATAATTGTGAATTGATATTCTAGTACAATCTATTGTCATTTCTTGTTAACAAAACTTACGAAACAAGATGAGTGAACTAATAACTTTTTATTAATTATAGAAGTATTTTGCGTCATCGGATAATTATCGAACACAATTTCATGTAGTCAGATATAATTCCTTAATGTATTACAATTTTGATAATATGCATTAAACAGATCTAGATCCATTATTTGAATCAAATGAAAGAGATTGTGATTAATACTAATATACCAAATTAAAGTAAAGTTATTA